TTCATTATTGTTCATCTAGTTTCACCATGAATATGGTGAACTAAACCTTGTATTGTTGTTGGGGAATCAATGTAGTCTTGTGAAACTCTCATATATGGAATTTGTTTTAACATCTATTTTTAAGACTTATGCTTTCTTTCATCATTAGTTAGGGTTTTTCCTCTTTGCTTAAAGCTTGCTTTGTTTAACTCATTCATTGCCATGATTATTGATTTTGTCAATATGGGAACGTACGGGGAAATCTAGATCCGGGGAATTTCTCCCAATAGCATATTGGTTGCCGTTAAGCTTCTGCACTTAAGAATTAATTACTAGGAATGCTAGGAATTGTATGAACTCGTAATTAAGAATAGGCCTTCTTGCAAGGTGATTTAGAGAGTGGCATTAGCATTGATGAAAAGAATGATGAATTCCTAAAGTATATGAGAATGGATAAGATGAAATTGATAACTCCAACAACATACTCACTCATCTAATTCATTGAAGTGTTTGTATTCTGTTTTTCTCCATTGATCAAATTCATGCATACATATTTAATTATTGTCTTTTGCATTTAAACCTACAATAAATTTGTTCTCAAGTCTCAAATAATCAACAAATCATATAGCTAAACTAGGCCATGAGTCCTTTAGGAAAACGATACTTGGTCTTACCTAGTTTTATTACTTGATACGATTCGGTCACACTTGCCGATTGTTAAACAAGTTTGTGGCGTCGTTTTTCGGTGTTCATAAATTTGTCATCAGCATGACATTCGTATGGTAGAAATCTTCATTGATTTCCTATCAATTATGATATAATTTATACACTTTGAAATTGATATCGATATATAACTTTTATAATTTTACATACAACAGTGTTGGGACAGGTTGTTCACGTTGATGAGGTGGTTTAGCAAACTCATCTATGTAAGAGATCTGGTCAATTTGTTGATTAGAGGTTGTGAAGGACACGTGTAAGAAAACTATTATGAAAACTTGAAAGTTGTATTATTTTTGTTTCTTTTAAACTTGTACCGACACTTTGCAGATTTTAATAGCAACAACTTAACACTAGACTCTCACAAGTCATATCCGAGGAAGAATCATGGCCTACTAATGATGCATCCCAAGCAAATATGGATGACAAACATATTATTAGGATATAGTGTTAGGCGAACATCGTCAATCGAAAAAACAAAGGACGACTATATGGGGCAGGACAACTTGCTGCCTTATACATTGGTGAAAAAGGTTCATTGAAGCATGAATCATCTACATATCTAGTAGTGTTGACCAGGGTTATGATGATCTGAGACAACAACTGCAAGCTCATCACCAAGCTTATGATATTTTCGAACAACAATTTAATAATCTCCAAAATTTAGTTATGAAGTTCTTACCTCTAAACGCACAATCAATGGTCCATTAGACTTAGTCCACATTACCACCGTCCCAGCCACCTCCCCAACAATGGTACTATCAAGATGAAGAAGGCAATAACTCTGATGATGACTACAACGATTATTAGAGAGTTAGTTTATGTATAGGATTTTATTAACTTTATATTATGTTTTGTATAATTGACATTATTTTTATCCTATTAATGATATGGACTTCATTTATTTCACTGCATTGGTTGATTTATGACTACATATATCTAGATTATGTGATTAGGATTGTCTTGGATTGCTGTTGATTATGTCTAGGTTCAATGTGTTGGGAAGCAAATGATGCCCACTACACTTGAACATGTTTCACATACAACTGACGAACCACTGATGGATAATTCACTAGTGTAGTCAAGGGAAATAACAATGGTTGTTTTCGCTTATAGACAATGGTTCTGCAACCAAAGCATATACAGGCAAGACAAAAAGGTAGGCCTTTTGCCTCGGTTTTGAACCGATTAAGTAGGATTTAGACTATGCCTCGATTCCCAAACAACCGAGACAATAAAGTGTTTTTAATTTTTTTAATCTCAATCGAGATCTTTTGCTTTCTCTTTTCCTTCTCTTTTTAATATCAACCGAGCATAAAATTCTTGATCAAACATAGCAAGAAAGAAGCTTCTTACCGTTGGCAACTAAAATATACTGAAAAGGAAAACCATCCACATATGAAACTTGCTGCTGAGTTCTCACTATTCAATGAAGCCACAAACTTAACAAATAATGTACATATAAACAGAACCTATGATTGTGCTGGAAAAAAGAAGGAAAGAAGATATGAATGACAAAAGGAAGAAAACAGACAGAATCACAATTTTGAGACAAAAGAAAAACAATATGTGGCTTGATTATCACGAACCAGTGGCACCCAAACTCCATTAGCGTGTTCTCACTACCAAATCCTTTGATTATCACGAACCAGTGGCACCCAAACTTCAACCTACATTAACAATCCAACTTTTCAACCCTAATTAAAAGCCTCTGACGGAAGTGCATTCGGAGCTCTTCAATAGGCTTCAAATATGGACACGCTTTACCTTCCACGAGTATACGGCAGAGGAGATCCTGTTGGCCACCGACAACTTCTCCGAGCGGCTAAGGTTGAAGTCCAACCGAGATTGGAGCAATGTTTACCGGGGATGCTTTAACCACTCCATCAAGATGCTCCCTTTCTTTCTCTCTTCTTTCCCAGCGAGCAATCAAAAGTCGCATAGCAACCTAAGAAGCAGAACCCCCAAATCCATTTCGCCATCCACCTATAAAGAAACTATCTTGATCGATTAATCAGTGGAACCAAGGTTTTAAATGGTGGAAAAGAGGAATGAATAGAGGGAAACAAGTTTAATCGGTAGAAAAGTGGTTTTATGGTCGCTAAGGCTGAAGAAAGGCAAAATATGGAAGAAGAATGTTGGATCTGTGAAGGAAACTAGACTTACAGTGCGGAGGAGAGGTGGATTTGTAATGGAGGTTGGCGATGACGAGATGCACTCTCTCGAGAGAAACTGGCTTGCGAGAGTGTGTAGAGACGCAGCTAACCGCCACCATTCTGCTACCGCCGCTCCATGAGAAAAGAGTTTCCGCCATCATAGCACCGTGGCCGCTCTCTCCCCGTACTGTCGCACACTCTCACCGCCATCAAACATCATAGAGAAAAAGGAGAAGAGGAGGTGCTAGGTTTTTAGGGGAAAATTTCGTCGTAGAGGCTAGGTTTTCTTGGCTGCTTTTTTAAGGTCCAGTCCAAGCCCATATGCCTCGGTCCATCTGCCAACCGAGGCAATATCTTTGCCACATGAGGTTTATGCCTCGGTTCACCCTGCCAACCAAGGTAGTATTCCTTTTAGACATCGGTTGCTTAACAACCAAGGTATATACTATTTTAAATATTACGAAACTGTCATCGCGTTTGATATGTTTCGGTTTCAAAAAAACCGAAGGGTAATGTGCGAGTTAAAAATGCGATTTTTTACTAGTGATTACAGAAATGAAAATTTCTTTTACAAACTAAGACTCATAGTCCACTACGAACCTTAAATGTTAGTGTGAATACAACCAAGATCATTCAATCCCTTGGGAGAACATTATCTCGACCTTAATTAAGAACATTATTAAAATAAATAGAAGATTAAATAAGTTAATTCAGATACCTTAAGTATCCCTATATTAGACATAAGCTACCTGTCATAGGTCCATATTAAGGAAAAAGCCCATATGATGATAATCACCCTAAGAGCTTACAAAATGCATCCATGACTATGCCTAACTCTAGTCTTTTTCTCTCTAAATATGCAAATAATGTAGAATTGTATAGGTTTTCTTGCACATTGTTTAGGTCTTGTACTTTTTGGAACTTGTATTTATACACCAAGTTGTAGGTTGAGCTCTCGTGCTTTCAATCGGGCTTTAGGATCAACCTTTTGAGCTCATCTATTTCCAGTTTAGCTTCTAGGCAGACATGCAACTTGGTCTACAAATTTAAGGTCCAAAGAAAGTCCCAAAAAAATTGTAAGGAAACCTGTACAATTCTACATTATTTTCATATTTAAAGAAAAGAAAACTAAATTTACGCCTAGTCATGGACCCATGTTTTAAGCCATTACGGGGTTGTAGGTTTATTAAAAAAAAAAAAAAGCCATATAACTGGTATACAATCATTGGAGGTAAAATTGGTCATTCATCTATTACCATATTCATTGTATATCATGTATCTTGCAAGCACTCCCCCTCAACATCTCGACAAAAAAGAAGTAATTATTTCATATTAGAAGCAAAGATGTTGAAGGAGAATCTTGTAAGGTTCGACCTTACAAGAAAAAAGGGACTATGTATTTTTTTAGAGTGTATCAATGTTGTCAAACATTTATAGTTCGATTATAATATATATATATATATATATATATATATATATATATATATATATATATTTTGTATACAGTAGTAGTAAATCCAAATTTCTTGTTTGGTAATTGATTAAGATAAGTGATTTTTTAGAGCAATTTTTTTTATACCTCCAAGAATATTTAATGTAACTTCTTAGTATAAGTTGAATAAAGAATAAGAATAAAGGAATCATTGAAACTATAATTTTACCTCTTTCTTGACATAGTTAATGCAATATACTTTTCCTTGCTTTCTCATCTCCTGGTCAATTTCTTCATATACATCAAAAATTGCCTTATAACATAATTGCATGTAATTTGGGAGATCAACCCAGCAACGAATATCCCACCTGCTAGTTTTTAGGAAGTTATCTTTGATATATCGGAAGAATTAAGCTAAAGATATATCATTTTGATGTGCCTAACCTGTCAATTGCATTGGTGAAAAGCTCAAGTTCTTCTATGGTTCCATAAGCATCGTAGATGTCATCAATGATGGTACCTAAAGCTGCTAATTTTGTTGTTATCCATCTTGAATATTGTGGTTCAAAGTACACCCCCAATGCCCAAAAATAACATTCTACGATCCTATCTCGTGTAAAAGGTAAATTGGATGAGACATCTAAATCCTTATCCCACCATCTGAATAAAAAAAACCAACATTAATATTCCAAAGAAAAAAACAAAAAGAAAGAATCTTTAACTGATATATATTCATTTATTCATCGAAAGGTAATGTGTCTAATGAAGATATTACTTGGTTATACTGCTGAGTTCTTTCAAATGTAGCTCCTGCAACTTGTTAAAATCTAATTTTGCAAATGTTAGCAATTTTTCGTCATGAGATGGATATTCCTCGTATAAAGACATAAAATATGTTGTCTCCAACCTAAGCAAACCTCGGCGAAGTGATTGTCTTAAGTTATGCTGAACTCGTGCCACAAGAGAACAACTTAGTTGGGTGGTTATAGACTTAGTTAATTGCTCCATACTGAAATTGTGTGCTTCTTCAAGTACTTCTTCTCCATGACATCTTAGTTGGGCTGCTTCATACAAGCTTAACATTCCTTCAATATCATCCGTTAAACTTTCCTTAAACTTTCCGGTTTGGTCTTCGAATTTGAAAAATACACCTGTTTAACTTTTACACATGTTTTAATTTCAAGATAAATATATCTAATTATATAACTATTACATAAGGGATATGCCACCACATAAATGACATACACATTAAAATCCAACAATTTGTATAAGTTGGTTTTAGTCATCCTATAAACCCAATCTTAAAAGTGAAAATCAAATAATAATTTGTTGTTAAAATAAAATAAACCCTATTTAAAAAATATATATTTATAAGAGGTTAAGTTTTGATGATTGAGAAATCTGTACTGACCAAACATGTATGTATTTTGTGATTCATTGATTTTAGTTTTCAAACTCAGGAAAATTTTATCACCATTAACCTTCTAATGCAATTTCATGGTTACTCAGTACTTTAATATATTTATCTTGCAAGTCTACTATTATATATATATATATATATATATATATATATATATTAATATTACCCTTATATTAAATTCTTAAAATATTAAATTTATGAATTTTATTTTATACGATGTTCAATTTTTCTCCTTTAACTTAATGTAAGATTTAAATATCATCCATCTTAATAAGGTGTTAATAAGACATGGGTGTTTGACCCTTTATGTAAAAAAAAAGGTTTGGATAGAGAATCTTGAATCCATCACCAAGACAAAACTAGTTACTACTAAAGAAGCGAATGTTGGGTTATTGAGCTCCCTGGAGAATAGGTCCAAATAATGTGGACCTTTATGTCTCACTAGGTTAAATAGAGATGGGTTAGATTAGTAGGGTACATTAGAATCATTTGAAGAGAGGCAAAAGTCAAGTGAGAGAAAAAGGAAGAGAGAAAGTTATTCCCGCATAACCCTAAACCTGGATTGGTGTTTTAGTCGCTGTGAAGTCGTTCGCCGTTGGATCGAGCTGATTTTTGGACAGTAGGTTCCAGACATATGGTTCTTCATTTTGATCATTCGGATCGTCAATCGGAGGTCTAGATTGCAAGAAATCGGTCCCACACTAGCAACACTATTTTGGAGAATTTTCATCTTCTTTGTTCTCATTTGTAAGTATTTGTGCTTATTTAAATTGGCTTATTGAACACAAAATTTGTTGTTATTATTGAAGACTATTTTGTATCCTATTAGTTATCATACTGGATTTTTCTTTAATTTGGACGACTCGTGGTTTTTACCCTTGCATTGTGGAGTTTTCCACATTAAAAATTGTCGGTGTCTCTTTGTGCTTTGGATTTTATTTTTGTTCTATTTGTTTGGTACTCCTCAGAGATTCTCGCAAAAAGGGGGATGGAATTTCCTCTGCATTATTACTCTTTGCCAAGTTGTTATTTTTTTTGGCCCTTTCCCCATCAGAGTGGCATCAGAGCTCTTTGGTTAAGGGAATGTTTAGTTTGTGTGAATGATGGAGGCACATACAAAATTGATTCCTTTGAATGGAGAAAATTATCACCTATGGAAAGGCAAGATGAAGGACTTGCTATTTATGAAAATTTTGCATCTTCATGTTTTTGCTTCCAATACGCTGGAATCCAAGTCAGATGAAGAATGAGATTTTAAACATCAACAGGCAGTTTGTTGATGATAATGTTTATAATTTTGTTGCTAATGAGTCACATGCGAGAAGCCTATGGGATATGCTTAAGTCCTTATATGCTTCTAAGTCAGGGACTAATAAATTGTACTTGCTAAAAGATTTTGTGGAATTGAACTACAAGGAAGGAACTCCTGTTTCAAATCACTTGAGTGAATTTCAAGGACGCTATGATCAATTAGCAGGAGTGGGTATAAAATTTGATGATGATCTATTGGGCTTATTCCTATTAAACTCTTTACTAGATTCGTGGGAGACATTTCGGGTTTTCATGATAAGTGCTACCCCTAATGGTGATATTTCTTTGCAAATGGCAAAGAGTGATGCTCTTAATGAGGAGATGACAAGGAAGACACAGGGTACTTCATCTAATTCAGAAGTGCTTATTACAGAGAATATGGGGAGAAGCTAGAAGAAAGAACAAAATAGTGGTAGAGATAAAAGCAGGAGCAAGTCCAGGTCTCGGTACAAGAATGTGGAGTGTCACTATTGTCACAAAATAGGGCATATAAAGAAGAACTATTTTTGTGATTGAAAGAGAGCAAAGACAAAAAGGGTAAGCAAAGAGAAAAATATGTTAATGATGGTGATCGTGTTACTACTACTACTACTACTACATGTGGTGACCTTGTTTGTCTTCGTGATTATGACGATATTAATCTTGTATCTGATGAAAGCATGTGGATAATTGATAGTGGTGCTACACTCCATGTTACATCCAGGAAGGAGTTCTTCACATCTTATGCACCTGGTGATTTTGGAGTATTGAAGATGGGTAATGATGGAGTGTCTAAGGTTATTGGTGTTGGTGATGTTCACTTGCAAACCAACATGGGGATGCAGTTGTTGCTTAGAGGAGTTAAACATGCTCTAGATGTTCGCTTTAACTTGATTTTTGTTCAGGTACTTGATGATGGTGGATTTGATAACCACTTTGGTTTTGGAAAGTGGAAGCTCACCAAAGGTAACTTGATTGTGGCTAAAAGGGAGAAAAACTCTAAGCTTTACTGGAAAAAAGATTTGGTTGCTAAAGATAATGTGAATGTTGTGTATATGGAGTCATCTTTGTGACACAGAAGGCTTGGGCATATCAATGAAAAAGGACTAAATTGCTTAGTTAAAACAGATGTTTTCTCAGGATTGAAGAGTGTAGAGTTGGAGAAATGTTCTCACTGCATGGCTGGTAAACAAACCAGAGTATCCTTCAAGAAGCATCCTCCTTCCAGGAAGTTAGAGTTGCTTGAATTGGTCCATTATGATGTTTGTGGCCGTTGAAGGTAAAGTATTTTAGTGGTGCACTTTACTTTGTTACTTTTATTAATGATTGTTCCAAAAGATTTGGGTTTATGCACTATAGAGAAAGGACCAACTGTTGGACAAGTTTAAATAATTCCATGCTTTGGTTGAGAGACAGTCAGGCAAGAAGCTGAAGCGCTTTTGTACTGACAATGGTGGTGAATATTGTGGACCATTTGATGCTTATTGTAGACAATTGCACATGAGAAGACTCCTCCGAAAACTCCTCAGTTGAATGGTTTAGTAGAGAGGATGAATAGGACATTGATTGAAAAAGTTAAGTGTATGCTTTCTGAAGCAAAATTGCCTAAGAATTTCTGGGGTGAGGCATTGTTTTTAGTAGTTCATTTTATTAACCTAAGTCCTACAGTTGCTTTGAACTCTGAGGTGCCAAACAAGATTTGGTTTGGCAAGAATGTTACTTATGATCATTTACGTGTCTTCGGTTGTAAAACATTTGTTCATGTTCCAAAGAATGAAAGATCCAAGTTGGATGTGAAGACAAGGCAATGCATCTTCATTGGTTTTGGTCAGGATGAATTTGGCTACAAGTTGTATGACCCCATTGAAAAGAAAGTTGTTAGAAGTCGTGATGTGCAATTCATGGAAGATCAAACCATTGAAGATATTGATAAGGTGGAGAAGTCTACACCTAAGGAAGATGATAATGTGGCTGATTTTGATCCAATTGGTTGTCTATTAATGATTTGGATATTGATGTTCATGATGATGAACAACATGGTGATATTGATAATTAGCATATTGGAGATGACTTGGATGTTCCTATTGATAATGTTGATGAAGAGGAACATGATGTGTCCCTAGATGAGAGTCTTGGTGATGTACCTGAGTTACCAGAAGCTCAACCTAGAAGATCTGACAAGCCAAAACAACCTTCTAAGAAGTACTCTTCCAATGAGTATGTGATGTTGATTGATGAGGGAGAACTTGAATGCTATGAGGAGGCCATTGAAAGTGAAAAAAAGAAAAAGTGGTTGGATGCAATGTAGGATGAGATGAAATCTCTGTATGATAATCACACTTATGACTTGGTGAAGTTGCCAAAGGGTAAGAGAGCCTTAGAGAACAGGTGGATTTTTAGGGTGAAACAAGAGAGCAATTTTGCATCTACCATATATAAAGCCAGATTAATGGTGAAAGGCTTCAAACAAAGAAATGGTGTTGACTTCAATGAGATTTCTCACCTGTGGTGAGGATGACATCCATCAAAACTGTGTTAAGTTTAGTTGTTACTCTAGATTTGGAGGTTGAGCAGATGGATTTGAAGACAACTTTCCTTCATGGTGATTTAGAGGAAGAGATTTACATGAAGCAACCATATGGTTTTCTTGTTGAAGGCAAGGAAGACTATGTGTGTAGGCTATGAAAAAGCCTATATGGTTTGAAGCAAGCTCCGAGGTAGTGGTATAAGAAGTTTGAGTCTGTTATGTGTGAGCAAGGCTACAAGAAGACTACTTTTGACCATTGTGTTTGTGTTAGGAAATTTTCTGAGAATGATTTCATTATACTGTTGTTATATGTTGATGACATGCTTATTGTTGGGAAAGATGTATTCAAAATTGACAGGTTAAAGAAGCAACTGGGCGAGTCATTTGCCATGAAAGACATGGGAGCTGCTAAGAAGATTCTTGGTATAAGTATCACTCGTGATACAAAAGAGAAGAAGCTTTGGTTATCACAGGAGCACTACATTCAGAAGGTGTTGCAAAGATTCCAAATGGAAAATGCTAAAGTTATAAGTACTCCTCTTGCTACTCATTTTAAGTTTAGTGTTAAACAAAGTCCTTCAAATGAACCTGAGAAGATGGATATGATCAAAGTTCTTTATGCTTCTGCTTCAAATGAGGCTGGAGACATTGATTACAGAAAGTCTACTTCAGGCTATTTGATTCAATTTGTAGGGGAGTCTTGGCTTGGCAATCAAAGTTGCAAAAGTGTGTAGCGTTGTCTACTACTAAGGCAAAATTCATTGCACTTACTGAAACATGTAAGGAGTTGTTATGGGTGAAGAAATTCTTGCAGGAGCTTGATTTTGTGCAAGGGAAATACTTGTTGTATTGTGACAGTCAAAGTGCTATTCATCTTGGTAAGAATCCAACTTTTCATTCTAAATCCAAACATATTGATGTGAGGTATCATTGGATACGTGATGTTTTGGATGCTAAGTTGTTGGAATTAGTGAAGGTTCATACAGATGATAATGGTGTTGATATGATGACCAAGGCATTGCCAAGAGGAAAGTTTGAAGTTTGTTGTCAGATCGTCGGTTTGGCAGATATCTCCACATAGTCGTGAGGGGGAGATTTATTGGGTTATTGGGCTCCCTTCCTATGTGGAGAATATGCCCAAATAATGTGGACCTTTATGTCTCACTAGGTTAAATAGTGATGGGTCAGATTAGTAGGGCACGTTAGAGTCATTTGAAGAGAGGCAAAAGCCAAGTGAGAGAAAAAGAAAGAGAGAAAGTAATTCCCACATAACCCTAAACCTGCATTAGTGTTTTGGTCGCTGTAAAGTCGTTCACCGTTGGATCGAGCTGATTTTTGGACAGTCGGTTCCAGACATATGGTTCTTCATTCTGACTATTTAGATCATCAATTGGAGGTCTAGATTGGGAGAAATCGGTCCCACACCAGCAGCCCTGTTTGGGAGAATTTTCATCTTCTTTGTTTTCATTTGTAAGCATTTGTGCTTATTTAAATTGACTTATTGAACACATCATTTGGTGTTATTATTGGAAACTCTTCTGTACCCTATTATTGATCATAGTGGACTTTTCTTTGGTCTGGACGACTCGTGATTTTTACCCTTACATTGAAAGGTTTTCCACGTTAAAAATTGTTGGTGTCTCTTTGTGCTTTGGATTCTATTTTTTTTTATATTTGTTTGGTGTTTCTCACATATTCTCGCAAGAAGGAGGATTGGATTTCCGGTACATTATTATTCTTTACCAAGTTGTTATAATTTTTTGGCCCTTTTCCTATCATAGAAGACATAACGTAGTACTCAACAAAGAGATAAGTGGCGCATAGAGTAAACTGAAACAATAAATGCAATAGCATCGTAGTGAGTTGAACAAGGAGTTATTGTTCTTTGCAAAGTTAATTTGGTGAAATGCTCAGGAAACCTACTTGAAGAAATGCGGTATCCATGTTGTCTAAGCAGCCGAAAGAGTAGAGCCGTACAGTAAAGATCATCACAGTGAGCTATGATATTATTGTCCTTTGTTGAAATGTCATAAATTTGACATAAAACGCTGTCAATTTCGTGCTCAAAATGGTAAGACACACCCAAACGTTGGACTGAATCAATGAAGTTCAATTTAAGAGAGAAATTGGTATCATCAATAGGTGAGACAAGCCTCTTCCTCACGTCCTCTTTTAATAGATTAGCCTCTTGAATACGGCTATCACTTTCCTGCATCAAGTAGTAATGAAAAGTCCATTATACAAAACGTTTTATCTACAGAGACTAAATGTTAACGTAGGAAAGAGATTGAAAAAGTAACGGATGAAAGAGTAAATACAGAGGAAGAGGGAACATAAGAAAGAAAGCGATCGCCCCAAATGGAGGGATGAAAATTTGCAGTGGGTCGAGTGAAAGGAGGTTTTGCACCACTGGCAGAAATTGGAGGTGATAAGGCACCGTTGGACATGGTTTGTAGGGGACTATGGGTTCAACGTACGTTACTAAGTACAGACACCCTTCTTATATTTTTGTGCCAGTCACATCTATACTGTCACGGACTTTATAAGAGGTAAAGTATTAAATTTTGGAATATATATTTTTGAGTCCACATGATTAAGACACTATAAATAAAAAGAAAAATAATTTTCAATGTTTTTGAAAAGTAAAAAAGTAAAAAATTGAATCATTATTATCAATATCTTTAATTTTTCAATAAGTTAATGTTAAAAGATCATTAAACTTAAATATATTAACTTTGTTGGCACTTTTTAATAATTGCATGACATAGAAATTTCATTAAAACAAATACATAAAAAAATATGAAGAACTATACTAAATTCATTATAAAAATTATATTTCACCAAATATAGAAAAACAAGATCAATTATAAAAAATATTTTAGATAAAACCATGAAAATTATTTGTATTATTTTCTATAAATAAAAGTTAATACGATTAATTTATTTACACAAAAATCTCATTAACAACGAAGAAAGTAAATTTTAAAGTATTACCATAAACTAAGAGTAATATGTAATATGATTGAATATAACAAATGAAATAAATTCAACAATATTAAATATGTCAAACGGGAAGTCTCCCTCTTATATAAAGACAGAACTTTAAAAAACAAAAATAATCAAAATGTAAAGAAAACACATTTTCCGCACGCGGAATCTTTTTCTAAAGAGTGGCTGGGAATTAATGTGGGTCTACAATAATACAACACACTAAGCTAAAAAAGACGTGATTGTAAATTAGCACGTGTGGACTTGACTAAAACATAAACCAATAGACTGTGTACCTAAAGCTGATAAGAGATCATTATCCTTCTTGCAAAATCGATAAGAAAATAGTGGTGGCTAATGTGAAGGTTGTAGATTATGATCTCAAAATGTCAAAATACAGTTTAAAATAAAAGTCAAAATATAAAACCAAGATGTTACAGAAATATATAAAAAAAAAAAACCTACATGTTCAAAATCGTATATTATTTTTTTTAAAGATGTTGAAATTTTTTTTTACAAAAGNTGATGTACCTGAGTTACCAGAAGCTCAACCTAGAAGATCTGACAAGCCAAAACAACCTTCTAAGAAGTACTCTTCCAATGAGTATGTGATGTTGATTGATGAGGGAGAACTTGAATGCTATGAGGAGGCCATTGAAAGTGAAAAAAAGAAAAAGTGGTTGGATGCAATGTAGGATGAGATGAAATCTCTGTATGATAATCACACTTATGACTTGGTGAAGTTGCCAAAGGGTAAGAGAGCCTTAGAGAACAGGTGGATTTTTAGGGTGAAACAAGAGAGCAATTTTGCATCTACCATATATAAAGCCAGATTAATGGTGAAAGGCTTCAAACAAAGAAATGGTGTTGACTTCAATGAGATTTCTCACCTGTGGTGAGGATGACATCCATCAAAACTGTGTTAAGTTTAGTTGTTACTCTAGATTTGGAGGTTGAGCAGATGGATTTGAAGACAACTTTCCTTCATGGTGATTTAGAGGAAGAGATTTACATGAAGCAACCATATGGTTTTCTTGTTGAAGGCAAGGAAGACTATGTGTGTAGGCTAAGAAAAAGCCTATATGGTTTGAAGCAAGCTCCGAGGAAGTGGTATAAGAAGTTAAAGTCTGTTATGTGTGAGCAAGGCTACAAGAAGACTACTTTTGACCATTGTGTTTGTGTTAGGAAATTTTCTGAGAATGATTTCATTATACTGTTGTTATATGTTGATGACATGCTTATTGTTGGGAAAGATGTATTCAAAATTGACAGGTTAAAGAAGCAACTGGGCGAGTCATTTGCCATGAAAGACATGGGAGCTGCTAAGAAGATTCTTGGTATAAGTATCACTCGTGATACAAAAGAGAAGAAGCTTTGGTTATCACAGGAGCACTACATTCAGAAGGTGTTGCAAAGATTCCAAATGGAAAATGCTAAAGTTATAAGTACTCCTCTTGCTACTCATTTTAAGTTTAGTGTTAAACAAAGTCCTTCAAATGAACCTGAGAAGATGGATATGATCAAAGTTCTTTATGCTTCTGCTTCAAATGAGGCTGGAGACATTGATTACAGAAAGTCTACTTCAGGCTATTTGATTCAATTTGTAGGGGAGTCTTGGCTTGGCAATCAAAGTTGCAAAAGTGTGTAGCATTGTCTACTACTAAGGCAAAATTCATTGCACTTACTGAAACATGTAAGGAGTTGTTATGGGTGAAGAAATTCTTGCAGGAGCTTGATTTTGTGCAAGGGAAATACTTGTTGTATTGTGACAGTCAAAGTGCTATTCATCTTGGTAAGAATCCAACTTTTCATTCTAAATCCAAACATATTGATGTGAGGTATCATTGGATACGTGATGTTTTGGATGCTAAGTTGTTGGAATTAGTGAAGGTTCATACAGATGATAATGGTGTTGATATGATGACCAAGGCATTGCCAAGAGGAAAGTTTGAAGTTTGTTGTCAGATCGTCGGTTTGGCAGATATCTCCACATAGTCGTGAGGGGGAGATTTATTGGGTTATTGGGCTCCCTTCCTATGTGGAGAATATGCCCAAATAATGTGGACCTTTATGTCTCACTAGGTTAAATAGTGATGGGTCAGATTAGTAGGGCACGTTAGAGTCATTTGAAGAGAGGCAAAAGCCAAGTGAGAGAAAAAGAAAGAGAGAAAGTAATTCCCACATAACCCTAAACCTGCATTAGTGTTTTGGTCGCTGTAAAGTCGTTCACCGTTGGATCGAGCTGATTTTTGGACAGTCGGTTCCAGACATATGGTTCTTCATTCTGACTATTTAGATCATCAATTGGAGGTCTAGATTGGGAGAAATCGGTCCCACACCAGAAGCCCTGTTTGGGAGAATTTTCATCTTCTTTGTTTTCATTTGTAAGCATTTGTGCTTATTTAAATTGACTTATTGAACACATCATTTGGTGTTATTATTGGAAACTCTTCTGTACCCTATTATTGATCATAGTGGACTTTTCTTTGGTCTGGACGACTCGTGATTTTTACCCTTACATTGAAAGGTTTTCCACGTTAAAAATTGTTGGTGTCTCTTTGTGCTTTGGATTCTATTTTTTTTTATATTTGTTTGGTGTTTCTCACATATTCTCGCAAGAAGGAGGATTGGATTTCCGGTACATTATTATTCTTTACCAAGTTGTTATAATTTTTTGGCCCTTTTCCTATCATAGAAGACATAACGTAGTACTCAACAAAGAGATAAGTGGCGCATAGAGTAAACTGAAACAATAAATGCAATAGCATCGTAGTGAGTTGAACAAGGAGTTATTGTTCTTTGAAAAGTAAATTTGGTGAAATGCTCAGGAAACCTACTTGAAGAAATGCGATATCCATGTTGTCTAAGCAGCCGAAAGAGTAGAGCCGTACAGTAAAGATCATCACAGTGAGCTATGATATTATTGTCCTTTGTTGAAATGTCATAAATTTGACATAAAACGCTGTCAATTTCGTGCTCAAAATGGTAAGACACACCCAAACGTTGGACTGAATCAATGAAGTTCAATTTAAGAGAGAAATTGGTATCATCAATAGGTGAGACAAGCCTCTTCCTCACGTCCTCTTTTAATAGATTAGCCTCTTGAATACGGCTATCACTTTCCTGCATCAAGTAGTAATGAAAAGTCCATTATACAAAACGTTTTATCTACAGAGACTAAATGTTAACGTAGGAAAGAGATTGAAAAAGTAACGGATGAAAGAGTAAATACAGAGGAAGAGGGAACATAAGAAAGAAAGCGATAGCCCCAAATGGAGGGATGAAAATTTGCAGTGGGTCGAGTGAAAGGAGGTTTTGCACCACTGGCAGAAATTGGAGGTGATAAGGCACCGTTGGACATGGTTTGTAGGGGACTATGGGTTCAACGTACGTTACTAAGTACAGACACCCTTCTTATATTTTTGTGCCAGTCACATCTATANGGGAGAAAAACTCTAAGCTTTACTGGAAAAAAGATTTGGTTGCTAAAGATAATGTGAATGTTGTGTATATGGAGTCATCTTTGTGACACAGAAGGCTTGGGCATATCAATGAAAAAGGACTAAATTGCTTAGTTAAAACAGATGTTTTCTCAGGATTGAAGAGTGTAGAGTAGGAGAAATGTTCTCACTGCATGGCTGGTAAACAAACCAGAGTATCCTTCAAGAAGCATCCTCCTTCCAGGAAGTTAGAGTTGCTTGAATTGGTCCATTATGATGTTTGTGGCCGTTGAAGGTAAAGTATTTTAGTGGTGCACTTTACTTTGTTACTTTTATTAATGATTGTTCCAAAAGATTTGGGTTTATGCACTATAGAGAAAGGACCAACTGTTGGACAAGTTTAAATAATTCCATGCTTTGGTTGAGAGACAGTCAGGCAAGAAGCTGAAGCGCTTTTGTACTGACAATGGTGGTGAATATTGTGGACCATTTGATGCTTATTGTAGACAATTGCACATGAGAAGACTCCTCCGAAAACTCCTCAGTTGAATGGTTTAGTAGAGAGGATGAATAGGACATTGATTGAAAAAGTTAAGTGTATGCTTTCTGAAGCAAAATTGCCTAAGAATTTCTGGGGTGAGGCATTGTTTTTAGTAGTTCATTTTATTAACCTAAGTCCTACAGTTGCTTTGAACTCTGAGGTGCCAAACAAGATTTGGTTTGGCAAGAATGTTACTTATGATCATTTACGTGTCTTCGGTTGTAAAACATTTGTTCATGTTCCAAAGAATGAAAGATCCAAGTTGGATGTGAAGACAAGGCAATGCATCTTCATTGGTTTTGGTCAGGATGAATTTGGCTACAAGTTGTATGACCCCATTGAAAAGAAAGTTGTTAGAAGTCGTGATGTGCAATTCATGGAAGATCAAACCATTGAAGATATTGATAAGGTAGAGAAGTCTACACCTAAGGAAGATGATAATGTGGCTGATTTTGATCCAATTGGTTGTCTATTAATGATTTGGATATTGATGTTCATGATGATGAACAACATGGTGATATTGATAATTAGCATATTGGAGATGACTTGGATGTTCCTATTGATAATGTTGATGAAGAGGAACATGATGTGTCCCTAGATGAGAGTCTTGGTGATGTACCTGAGTTACCAGAAGCTCAACCTAGAAGATCTGACAAGCCAAAACAACCTTCTAAGAAGTACTCTTCCAATGAGTATGTGATGTTGATTGATGAGGGAGAACTTGAATGCTATGAGGAGGCCATTGAAAGTGAAAANCTAAAGAGTGGCTGGGAATTAATGTGGGTCTACAATAATACAACACACTAAGCTAAAAAAGACGTGATTGTAAATTAGCACGTGTGGACTTGACTAAAACATAAACCAATAGACTGTGTACCTAAAGCTGATAAGAGATCATTATCCTTCTTGCAAAATCGATAAGAAAATAGTGGTGGCTAATGTGAAGGTTGTAGATTATGATCTCAAAATGTCAAAATACAGTTTAAAATAAAAGTCAAAATATAAAACCAAGATGTTACAGAAATATATAAAAAAAAAAAACCTACATGTTCAAAATCGTATATTATTTTTTTTAAAGATGTTGAAATTTTTTTTTACAAAAGTATTTTTTTCAAGAATAATACCTAAGAACAAGTGCCAAAGACATCTAATAAGAAGAATTGTTAAATTGAAAGGCAATATATGATGCTTAGAGATCTCATAGCTACATTTGATCTTTATTTACTGATCATAAATTCCATTAGATAAGTCAATTTTTCTTTTATATTTTAGTTTTTTAAACACCTGATTCATCATTATTGATATTTTTATATCTTTTGATGGAAGAAGATTAAGCACGTTACATTTAGAACTATATTTCTTTTTCATATGCATAGGATATTCATCCCCTTAATAAGTTTAGTGTTTAGTGAGTTTTAAACTTAAAAAATAAGACTAAAGCTGTCAAAACGGGTAATCCGCTTCAATCCAACTCGACTTACCACACGTTAGTCATTTAGTGAGTCAACCTAATCCAACTCACTTAATTATAAGTTTTCTTTAAAATAAAAAAAATATAATTTTTTGTAATTCAAATCTAAATAAATTTCACTCTAAACGATGTTAAACTCCAAAGACAATTCAAAATAAAAAAAAATATCATATAATCCAAGCGTAATCCAAAAACAAGCACAAAAGACGAACAAATAAGTTTTTAATATTGACAATTTTTATATCACTTGTCCATTTATAATATTAGAGTCTTAGTAGATAAATCTATAATATATTTCTCTCTTGAAACATCTTTTTTATATCCTCATCTATAATATAATAAAAAAAATGCTAACTATAATATTGAAACACAAAATAATAAATAATTAAATTAAATTAGGTGGGTTGGTGAGTTAACTCAGCTCATCACGGGTTCAACCCGAGTGAGCCGGGTTGAAAACTAACTCGCATAAAAAAATTATATTTTTTTCACACCCAACCTGACTTAAACCCGTGGTGGACCAAATTGACTCGCGGGTTACAACTCATTTTGACAGTACTAAATAAGACAAATATTTTAAATATCTTAATAAATTTGTAAAATTGAATTAGATATAAATATTTTACTAATTTATTAGAATCAATTTAACCTACTTTAACAAAATGTATAAGATTGTTTTTAAGTTAAAAAGTATAATAAATTGACATATAAATATTTATTAATAAAATCCGAAATTATAAATGGAATTTCTACATAAATTCATTTTATAAAACGTTGTTATCTCTTTAGAAAAATTTTCTCTTAAATCTCTTTCCCTTCACATGAGTGCAGTAAATGATATGACAATGAGTATGTTTGAAATAAAGACATATTAAGACAATAAAAAAGGAAGAGTTTTTTTCCTCGGTTATGAATTGAAGTTAAAATGTTAAGATTTTGCGTCGGTTAGAAAATACTGAAGCATTAAATGGAAAAAAAAAATTTAGGTTTTTGGTAGTAGTTGTTCGTAGAACTGTTGAAAAAATATTTTATGCTTCGGTTATTTTTACCACGATTACCATATGTCCAGTTTTAAATTATTATTTAAAATATAATAGGGTTTATGACTTTGATAGTTTTTGGATTCGATGACAAAAGTCTTTAATGCTTCTGTTATCTTGACAAGCGTTGTCATAGGTCCAATTTTAATTAAAATATTTATTTAATTTAAGGATATTTGGTGTAAAACTAGCATGCATAATATAGGAATACAGGTAATAATATATTTTTCAATCAAAAACAAAATTATAATCATAAATAAATTCAATTACATATTATGATATTTTATACATACACTTTATTATATCCTAAAATATACATACTAATGTACAATTATATTACATATTGTGCAAGAGTTTTCCGTATGTAATAAGTGGACTTGTTAGGAATGGAAAGAGAATTATTGAATCTCTATACAAAGCACAATAATTTCAATTAGTGTATGATTTTTAAACAATGGAAAAAAAATTGTTTAAATGCAAATATTAGTATTTCTCAACCACTTGTAATATAGACACGAATAATGATTACCATCTAATGCATTATATAGTAATTGGATTACACTTTAGTGCTAGAGAATTTGCGTTGTCTTACTTGGACCATTTATTCCATGACATAGTGATTGCCTTTCTTTAATTGACCATGCTTCCTCCATAAATAATCAATTTTGTTTTTCCTTAAATGTCACTTTCTTGTACTATAGATTGTAAATTGTTTTCTTTTTAAAGGATCAAATTGCACCCTACTTAGGTTGAATTATGTTATTTTAACTTACGGATACACCATGCATGACCTTGGGTTTGCCATACCCTGGTGCTTTTTTATTTGAATTAAAATACAAGGACGAACCATAGTTTATCATAGTTCAATGGTTGCACTTGAATTATAGAATTTGTAGGTGAGTGTACGAGAGTGTCTAGCAGTGAAAGAGTGAGAGAGTGTGATAAGGCGATAGATTATGATTTATGTGTGTCACCCACCAATCAATATTTAACTCTCAAGTGAAGATCAACAGTTTTGAACTTTAATGTCAGGGAAAGAGGGAGGGTTACTTTCGTTCGTTTCCCTTTTTGCAGCTGAAATTGGGGAGCTCATAAAGTAGCTGATTTGAATGAGCCACTATTGACAAGTAAACTGTTTAGGCTAGGTGAGAAAAGATTGAAATGGTTGTCACTGTTTACATCTTTCCATGCATTGGCCTTTTACAATCTATTACAAGAGGTTGTGGTAGTTACATGGTAGAGTGCATGAAGTATCTATTTTGTGTGAAGCCACAACTTGTCCCTAGTGCTTAAGTATATATATGTGAGATTGTGGAAAGAATGGATTGTTTGGGTGCACTTTAGCTGAGTAAGTGGTTTAATGGTTTGTTGATAATTAAATGTGATTATACATAAGGTAGATTGTTGTTTGGGTTGGAGATTTTTTGCCATATATTTTTGTTTCCAAACATGTTTTGTAAGGACCAAGGGGTATCACGTAAAACAGTAAGCTATTTCTTGATGTGGAGCAAGAGGAAAATATGGAGGTGGGTATTGTGTGTAACAATATTCATGTAAAATGCAGTGATAATGGGTTCTTGGGTTCTCATGGGAGAATGCTTGGGGTTGGTAGAGATTGGGGGGTTTTAAATCTGTTGTTCCAAACTATGATTCTTTGATTATTCACATGTTATGCTTGTGTATACAGTGAGCCTATAGTGTCTATTTTAATTGGTATGATGTACCCATGATGAAGAATTTGCATGTTGAAAAGTTTTTCTTACTCGAAAACAAAATTTAAAGCATACAATAGATGGAATCAAGGTTAAATAACACCTTATACATAAACAAGTCTTCATAAATGTCTTCTTTTAACTTGACCACTTGAGACTTGACTTTGAGATACAATGGCAAACTGAAACATGTCACTCAACTTTATTGGTG